AGCTTCAAAGAAACAACTGTTTAATTAAGGCCAAAAGTGTCCAGAGCTGCCCAGTTCTGTCAACTTTAAATTGTGCTTTTCAATCCAAGACAAAGTCGAAAAGCAACATTTCAGTCTGGCGGGGATCGAATAAAAATGACAAGGGCTCAGACTTTGCATGTGAATTCTGGGTGCCCCTTCTTTGTCTCCCTTAGGTAATTCCATAGAGAAAGATAGTTCTAACCCCTTTAATTCTTAGGGTTTGGAAGGAAGTGCTGGCCTGGGGGCCCAGGGCCTCAGCCAAAGGTAGGGGCAGCACTGCCCGGGCTTGTGGGTGAGGGAGCAGCGAGGCAGGGCAGGGAGCTGCAGGGCAGGCCTGCTGTGGTTCAGCTGCCTTGAGGCCTGCCTGCCAGAACTGAGCAGTGGAGGACACAGACTCTCCATGGGCCCTGGGCGAGGCCTCTGTCTAGGTGCTCCTCTGGGGCAGCCATTGCTGCTGGGTTTTGTAAACAAGTAAGTGAAACAGAAATATCGCAGCAACTTTCAAAGCACTGAGAGCAAGGTGTTGAGTGTATGCCATCTCTGCCTAATGACAGCATTTGTACACATTGTTCTTGATCATCATTGCTTCGTCTTAGAATACCCTGGTCAGCAGAGGTGAGGGTTAGCAGTGGGTGAGCTCATCTGAATGAATTGTGTGCCTTTCAGGTGTTCACTTGAAAAGCTGAAGGGTCAGGTCAGAAGTTTGGTTTCCATCAAATGAGCGTCTTTAGAAACCTACATGTCAGAACTTCGAATCCTGGGAGAATGAGCCTCGGGCCCATTTTCTGCTGGAAATGCGTGTCAGAGCCATCACGTTGGGCATCTTCAGGTTTGTGTGGCAAATGGCTCGGTGGTCCCAGCCCCAGGTCTGCGTCAGGATGGCCTTGTCCAGAACGCTTGCTTGTACCATCGGCACCCTCCACTGAGATGCCTGTCCTCCCACGAGCACCCGCAGGCCTCTGTTCAGGGCGTATGCGCTTCTCTTTCACATAGGACCCTTTGGGGACAGAGTTAGACAGGTCTCAGGTTGCCTTTTTTGCCTGATGCCATAATCTGTGTCTCTGATGATAAGTCAGGGAAGCTCCTGATCTCTCCTCACCTCTTGCCGCCCACAGCCACAGGTATGTGCAGGGCCCTGGGATGAGACCCTAGTGGTTCAGCCATGGTGGCTGTCTACACAGGCATTCTCTCCCTCCCCTGTTGCTGCCTCCGTAGTTAACGAAGGTTCTCTCATTCTGAGAGTGTATTTGCCGGAGACCTTCTGGAGGCATTCCAGCCCAGCTCGCCAGGGCGCTGCCTGGTATCACCTGCTGTGGTCTGGCCTCCTGTCCCTCTCCCCACGCCCACGATGGCCAGTGAGGTGCCAGGTAATGGCAGGCGGAGAGGGGCCCGGAGCCTGGGGCCGTGGGACATGCTCACAGAGCTGCGGCCTTCCCTCACTCCCTGTTCAGTCAAAGGCTCATCCCAAATTGCTTTCGTGCCAGTGAGCAAAGACATGCCCGCACAGGTTCCTGAGTGTGTTGTGCAGATTTACCAGAAACACCTCTGGCAGCTGGGAAGGACCTCTGCCTGCGGCCTCCCCTGCGGCCAGTGCTCCACGCAGACCAGTTGCCTGGGCTCCACGACACGGGCTTGTGGCCCAGCAGGGAAAGGGCTGAGGTGCAGCCCCAGCTAGCAGGCAGGTCATAGCTTCAAAACGTTTTCATTGGGCGTTTTCCTCTCTTCTGGGGGTCAGCATCCTTTTACTCATACCCTCCTCCCCTTTATTTCTCCTAATCCCTCCAAAGCACTGCATGGTAATGAAAGTACAGCTCTCGTTAGCAAAAGTATACTGACTTGTCCTGAAAAGTGCATGAAGCTGAGCTATGGGGCCTAACGGGAGTGATAGATATGGGTTGTGTGTATGTGAATAAGTAAGTGACTTCAACGTTGACATATAACTTTTTTTGTTTAATATATTTTCATTGATTTCAGAGAGGAAGGGAGAGGGAGAGAGAGAAACATCAATGATGATAGAGAATTATTGATCAGCTACCTTTTGCACATCCCCTGACCAGGAATTAAACTGTGACCTCCTGGTTCATAGGTAGACATTCAACCACTGAGCCACGCCTGCCAGGTGATATGTAACTTTAAAATCAGGGGAAATAATTGTGTGATAACACCAAAGCCTGGGCCAGAGCAGCTGCTCAGTTCAGTCCCTTGTGTTTGTGCCTCTGGACACGCCTTGTTTGACCTTCCCTGGAGAGGCCCTATAGGCTCTGGTGAGCGGTGTGGAGGGCGGCCTGGCCAGGGTAGAGGCCGCCAGTCCCCTGTGCTCTCACTGCTCATCACTGAGGTTAGAAGCAGGCATCTTCCCATACCCAGCTCAGTCTCCAGAATTCCACCAAGAGTCATCGAAAGTCCATGACACTAGCACTGGTTTCTGGAAATAGATCTGTGGGTACCAGGAAACGAGGATAAAGGTCCGTCCCACTCCCCGAGTCATTCCCACCCTCCCTGTATCCCAGTACTGACGCTGCAATGCACGTCGTCGTCGGGCTGCTGTCAGTGGATAATACCTGTTCAGCATTTGGGACAAGTTCCAGCGGGCACCCTCCTCCCGATGAGTGATCCTCACAGGAGCGCGAACCGAGCTTCACTGAGCCTCTAGTAACCTCGGCACGGCCACTTGGGAAGCCAGCTTTCCAAATTGCCCAGTGAGTTACAATGCTGTGGATCCTCCTCTTACCAGCATCATCCCCAAACTTAGCTGCTGGCCCATGGTTTTCACCTTTCAAAAATGCAGTGCCAGGTGCTAATGTGTGTTTAATAGAGGTTCACAGAACTTGGTCGGAGAAATGAGGGGTGTTGGGCCGGATGGAGAATCCATGGGCAGGTAGCGAGAATATGTGGAAGCTGCTGTGGTTGTCACCCCTGGGGCTCTCAGATCCACTAAGTTGCTGCCCCCAGCTGTTGGAAGGCAAGCTAAGCAGAGTTGTAGGGTGCGTGGGTAGGACAACACTGAGTGTCTTCCCTCCGCTCCAGTCTGCCTCGTGAGATGTAAGCCTGAACCAGGTCCACATAAATTTCACCGGCAATCCATTTCCTGCTACTTTTATTCAACGAGCACCATTCATCAGGAGAGATAAGCCCTAGGACATTCCCCTGCATCACCCCAATATCTTAAAGAAAGGGAAGGGAGGGAGCAGGGGTCCTCCCACCCCTCACTGTAGACGCTAGGAATAAAATGCCTGCTCACACTTGCTCCCCCCCATTAGGTGGGCTCTGCTGCACAAAGATTGCTGTGCTTGGTAGGTGGGGGGTGCCGTCCACACTTCTGCTGGGAAATCCTTAGGAGAAAGGCAGCTGGTATTGGATAGCTTCGAGTAATGAACTCATCAGTAAATAGAACACGTGAGCTCATTAATCTTCACTTTGCCTTTGGACCAAGTGGGAGCTCAGCTTCTCAGGAGACAAAATTTCATCTCTGTTCCTTTCCTTAAACCCAATCCAATTTTGAGTGAAACATGGCCGAGCTCTCCCTGGGAGCCGTGAGTAATGCGTTTTCTCGCACAGTAGATGGTCCAGGCTCGGCCTGTACCCCGTGCCCCGTGCCCCGTGCACGCAGGAGCTCAGGGCAGCAAAGGAATGTTCTCTGGGTGAAGTTTATTTTTAAAAGTTAAGGCTGTTGAAACTTTCGTTCATTCTGGTCATTCAGTCTTTGCTCCAACTTCTGCTGTTCTGAAATCACTGCCTCTACCCCTTGTCTCTGAAAAGAACAGAAATTGAGGGTGTGGAGATGAGCGGCTCCCAGTTTGCAAGGGGTGGCCTCCGGCCATCAGGGTCAGTCTAGGCTTCAGACAAGAAGTCTGAGCAGAGGTGCTGCTTGGAGAGTGAGGAGAGCCCTGGGGCGGCAGGGCTGCTGTGGGGGGCCTGCTCCAGCCAGGGAGAGGAGGCTTAGGGGTGCGTTCACATGCACCACAGGCTGGTCCTGTGGACCTGGTGTAGGCCCGTGGGACCCTGAGGTGTGGCGAGAGACAGCTGATGGATGAGGAGCCAGCCAGCGCTGGCAGGGGCTTCCCAGCACCACCTCTTACCCCAGAGCGAGGGCCCAGAGGACATCAGGTGTCTGTCCGCCTTGCACATCCACGTACCCGCCAGCCTTCCTAGAAGTTGATCAGACGAGGGGAGGGAACAGTCACATTCTGATGCAGGGTTGTTCCCTCTGTCCTCTGAGCCTCCTCTCGTTATTCCCATCAGAGGGCTGCATCAGCCCCTCCCCATCCCTTTTCCTACCGGCTTCACCAGTGTCTACCTCCGACCTCCCTGCTCCAGAGAGAGGACCAAGCCTGAGTGCGGGACCTCAGCCTCCTACCTGCCAAGTGGAGTTTAGAAGCATCAGGCCCCTTGGAGATGGTGGAGCTCAGCATTTCTGTTCTGTCCTCTGTTTTTATGTCACACCTTTTCTAGCACTGAGATAACCCATTTTCCTTTGAGAGCCCCCTCACATGCAGGTTATGGTTTGAGCTCTCCCACGATCCCCTAAGCCCTAGCTGTACAGGAGGTAGAATGTAATTTCACATCATCACTTGGGCTGCGCCCTGTCTTCCTCCGGGAAATGCTGGTGTCCTGGGTGGATGTTCCAGGGACAGTGCTGAGCTGGTGCTCTGCTCCCCGCCTGCCCGTGGCCGGAGGGAAGGAGCTCGAGCCCCTGCTCTCCTAGGGAAGGTGTGTCCGCAGCAGCCTCCTTTGGCTTCTGTCTCCAGGGTCCATCCAGGCACGAGCAGCATTAAATGCCCAGTCGGCCTCTAAGGACATCACACTGAGCTGAGGAGGGCAGGGGGCTCCGTAATAAACCCTTAGCAGCAGGAGCCTCTGCCGTGACCGTCCACCCACTGAGGTGCCCCTCCCGCCCTCCAGACCAAGTGAGAGCCAGGCTTTGGGCATTTGGAAGCCACCCTAACCCTCTGTTTTCTCTGCTTCTTCCGCTTCTGCAGGTTACGTGTTCTGTATGTTACATCGCCTCCCCGAGCAGCATGACTGTACGTTTGACCACATGGGCCGAGGCCGAGAGGAAGCCATCATGAAAATGGTGAAACTGGACCGGAAAGTGGGGCGCTCCTGCCAGCGCATTGGGGAGGGGTGTTCGTGAAGGCCGGCACGGCCGCCCATGACGCTGTTCTTAGTTCACTGATGTTAGCCTTATTTAGGACAGAGTCAGCCAGACACCTTTACTGGGCACGCGTCAGACCACAGCCAGTCCGTTTCCTTCCTTTAGCCAGCCATCCTGGTACTGTAGTTTAGGGGTTGATGGTGGTTGAAATTGATTTCTGGCTGGTTACTAAGGTGCCTGCTAGCCATTGTATAAAATTAAAACATGAAGAATATTTTTTTGAGCATGGCTAGTGGATTTAAAACAACACACACCTGTCACTGCTGGAGTCAAACTTACAAAAAGCCTTAAGCGGAAAGGGTTCCAGGCGGAGACTCTGAGTTAGTCGAGGAGTAGAAGCTGGTGTTCAGTCCCCACACCGCACACGGCTCTGCCAAAACTCTGGTTCATGTCGGCCTTTCACCTCCTCACTTATCCTTAGTCCCAGCAGCAGGTTGCCTGGTGGCCACGCTGCCTTGGCCACAGGAGGCTGCTGAGATCTGCCACGTGGCTGGGCTGGGTGGTGGCCTCACTCTCCCACCGAGCACATTGGGTGGGGGAGCAGGTTCTTAGGAAAATCTTCACAAAATTTTTTACCTGACTTGTTATGAAAAAACTCATCACATGAGAAGAGAAACAGTAACCTCACTTTGAAAATTAGCTCCACTCAAGTCTAGTCCATCCACGAGAACCACCTTTCTACACAAGACGCAGGCACGAGAGGCCGCCGGGGCCACCCGACCCCCTGGCTCTGGTTTGCCACTTGCCAAGTACAGGGTCTGGCAGTTGATCACATGAGGCTGATTGCAGCGCAGCAGTGAGGCTGGGTCCTCATCGGCCTCTGCAGCCAGAGTTCTATATTGGGGGTTTTTAAAATGACGTTTCATAGCCCACAGGAGCCCCTGGGAAGCTGCTGCCCAGACTCTGCCCCTTCCAGCAGGAGCCTGCTTGGCCCCAGGGGTCAAGGAGAGGATGGCCTCGCCCCGTCTGCAGCCCTGTCGTCCAGGGACAACAGTCCACACCTGCCACACAGCAGGGTGAGGGAGGCAGCGTGTGCCGCGGGGGCAGCGGTGTGTTGTGTACAGCTGTGGTTCTTGGCCGGGGCCAGGCTCCGAGGGAGACATTGGCTCAGCAGGTAGGGGCACCTTGCTCAGCCTGTGCCTCGTCACATGGGCAGACAGGAGTGCAGTAGCCCGGGCGGGTGGGGAAGCAGGTGGGCCTGTTTTCCCACGTTAGGAATCATACCAGCTGGGTGCGGGGAGGGTGGCAGACAGGATAAGCCAAGCAGGTGTGCGTGGCCCAGAGCCCCTGTCATCCAGGCGGTGGGAGCCGAACGCTCCTGCAGGGGCAGTTTGGATCTGTCCACCCGCAGGCTATGGGAACAGTTTAACGCAGCAACTTGCCCTTTCATACCACAAGCAGGTCAGCTCTGTCTGCCAAGTAATACCTGCAACTGGGAATGTTCTTTGGTCCAGAATCCGAAATAGGAAATCATGCTCTTCCCAACCTCCCCCCACCCCACCCACCCCACCCCAACCAGAGTGGAATCCGCTGCAAAATCTCCAGCCTTAATTCTTGCTTCAGGACCCAGACCGGTGTCTTGCTCTAGGGCAGCCCAGGGCAGAGGGGCCGGGTCTGCCCACGTTTACCACTGTTGTCAAGCCACGGCCTCCGGCCAGTCCCGCCATCCTCAGTGAGCTGGCCGCCTCGGCCCCACCACGCTCTGCTCCCTCAGAGGCCCCGAGCCCCCCTCCCTCCTCAGGCCCCACCCGCTGCTGCTCGGAGGCAGCGATGGGGAGCCCAGCACACAGGCTCGGCCTCACTTCCTGGTGGCAGAGCGGGGGCGGGGCGGGGGGCGCTTGTTCCCTGCAGTATCTGTTCTGTGAAGTTTGTTAAATGTAAGGAAAGCTTAAATTCTTGTATCTTTAAAGAGAAATCTTATTTAACCCTTTTGTGTTCTAGATTTACTTACACAGCCTAGAGCTCGGTTTTAGTTTTAACATTGTGAAAATATTAAAAGACTCTTGTAACTTTATTCTTTTTTCTCCTGCTGAAAAAATTAAACCAGTCGTACGAAAGTTCAGGTTTCTGTTTCACCCATTCTCCTCCATGCCCCTGGCACCACCAGGAAACTAGTAAAGGTCTCCCTCCTGCAGCCCTGCAGTCCCTCTGAATTGTCTGTGGGTGGTTCCGCCAGGGGAGGCTGGGCCTGCACAGGAGGTGTGTCTGCTGGGCCAGCTTTGCCGTCAGCAGGAGGGTGCACATCTGGGGAGATGGAAGTGAGCACCAGCTCTAGGCCCCGGGTTTGCATGGGTCCAGGGAAGGGGGTCAGCACCCAAGGAAGGACCCAGAGGATGAAGCATGGCGCTTCCCTGGAGGGGGAGGCCCAGGTTGATGTATTTGCTGTGTGAACGAGCTAGTGTAGGGCAGCGATTTTCAACCGTTTCCTCTCGTGGCCCACATAAACTACTAAAATCCTGTGGCACACCAAAAAACATTTCTTGCCGATATGACCAAAAAAATTGGTAGTTATTCACACCAGGCAGCTGTGTTGGCTGTCGTTTATTTGGCAATCTAAGGGAAAAGAGTCAGTGCCCCTCAGGAGTCGGGCATTGCATGTTTTAAAATCCGGTGGCACACAGTTGGAAATCGCTGGTGTAGAGGATACACTTGTGAGGATGTTCAAAAACATTTGGCCGAGGAGTGCACCCCTCCCCACCACCTTTAAGGCAGAAATATTGGCCACAAGGGGTCATGACGATGATGAAGGATCCGCAGAGGAATCCGCGGTGCACGGAGTGAACAGGCGGGCAGACAGCACCAGGCCTGGGGGCCTGGGAACACGCTGTGCCGCGGCCTTGCCTCCAGTCAGCCCCCAGCTTTGGGGCTTTGGGAAGAGGAGGGGCGTTCCAGTGGGTGCAGGGGGACAGGAAGCCCCAGCCGGCAGTGGTAGTGGAACCGGTTGTCAAAGTGGGGGTCAGCTACACGCTGGGAACTGAGAGGCCTCCCGCGCGGAGAAGGGAGGACCAGACAGGCACCAGAGCAGTGGAAACGCCCGGGAAAGACTGCGGGGCCTCAGAGAGTTTACCTCCTTCGCAGCCATCCTCAGAGCTTCCCCAGGGAGGGCTCCGGAAGAGGGGAATAACCAGAGAAAGATGGGAAAGACGGGAGAGGAAGCAGTGCGGGGAGGCCAGGCCTGGGAGGGGCTCCGGTGAGTCAGTGTCTGCAATTGATTTACCTTCTACCATGGGGTTCAGATATGAGTCTTAGAAAATTACACAAACAGAAATAGACAATTTATTGCAAAACAAAAATAAGAGGAACCATAGACCCTGCGTGACTTAGCCGTGAGCAATATCGAATACAAATCATGTGAACACAATATCAAATACAAGTCATGTGAACACAGACACAGTGACGAGTGTTGCTCTGGGAGCAGTCAGTGCTGAGACTCAGGAGACTGGGAAGCCTGCAGGTTGTGTGCAGGGGGCGCCAGGTTCCCATCGTCCCATCGTCCTGTCCACGGGAGGAGTCGCGTGTGTAACATTTAAGAGAGCATATGTGTGAGTTAGAAATGGTAAGTGCAGCACAATGCTCTCCAGTTCCATCCATGCCGTTACAAATGGTAAGAGTTCCTTCTTTTTTACAGCAGCGTAGTATTCCATCGTGTAGATGTACCACTGTTTTCTAATCCATTCATCTACTGATGGGCACTTAGGCTGTTTCCAGAGCTTAGCTATGGTGAGTTGTGCTGCTATGAACATGGGGGTGCATATATCCTTTCTGATTGGTGTTTCTAGTTTCTTGGGATATATTCCTAGAAGTGGGATTGCTGGGTCAAATGGGAGTTCCATTTTCAGTTTTTTGAGGAAACTCCATACTGTTTTCCACCGTGGCTGCACCAGTCTGCATTCCCACCAGCAGTGCACGAGTGTTCCTTTTTCTCCACATCCTCTCCAGCACTTGTCGTTTGTGGATTTGTTGATGATAGCCATTCTGACAGGTGTGAGATGGTACTGCATTGTTGTTTTGATTTGCATCTCTCGGATGATTAGTGACTTTGAGCATGTTTTCATATGTCTCTGGGCCTTCTCTATGTCCACTTTCAAAAAGTGTCTATTGTCCATTAGATCCTTTGTCCATTTTTTGATTGGGTTGTTTATCTTCCTTTTGTTGAGTTGTATGAGTTCTCTGTAAATGTTGGAGATTAAACCCTTATCTGAAATATCATTGGCAAATATGTTCTCCCATGCAGTGGGCTCTCTTGTTGTTTAGTTGATGGTTTCTTTTGCTGTGCAGAAGCTTTTTATTTTGTAGTCCCATTTGTTTATTTTCTCCTTAGTCTCCATTGCCCTAGGAGCCGTGTCGGTAAAGATACTGGTACGACATATGTCTGCTATTTTGCTGCCTATGGAGTCTTGTAGGATTTTTATGGTTTCCCATCTTACATTTAAGTCCTTTAGCCATTTTGAGTTTGTTTTTGTGTATGGTATTTTTCAACTTTATATAAATGAAGTAATATTATGTGAATTCTTCATCATCTTTTTTTTTTAATTTTATTGTCTAAAGTTTTACATATGTCTCCTTTTTCCCCAATTGATCCCCCCCCCCCAAGCCATTCCCACCCTGAGCACCCCTATGGTTCATAGCAGCACAATTTACAATAGCTAAGACTTGGAAACAGCCTAAGTGCCCATCAGCAAATCAGTGGATTAAAAAACTGGCACATTACACAATGGAATACTACGCTGCGGTAAAAAAGAAGGAAGTCTTACCATTTGCAACACAAGGATGGACCTGGAGAGCATCATGCTAAGAAAACTAAGCCAGTCGGAGAAAGATAAATATCACATGATCTCACTCATATGTGGGATATAATGATCAACATAATTTGATGAACAAGAATAGATCCAGAGACAAATGGCGGGGGCGGGGGGGGGGGGTAGAGAGTAACCAAAGGACTTGTATGCATGCACATTAGCGTAACCAATGGACACAGACACTGGGGAAGTGGGGGTTGCCCGGGTGGGAATGGCTGGGGGGGGTGGGGGGGTGTCAAGCAGGGAAAAAGGAGACATATGTAAAACTTCAGACAATAAATGAATTTTAAACATGTAAGTGCAGCAGAAAAAGCTGGCAGTCCACTCACTCTCTTTGGAGTGGGGGTGGGAGTGAAGCAAGCTGTATGTGTCCTGCCCTAGGACTGTACACATGCATGATGTTGATGTTAAAATTCAAATTAAAGACAGAAGGGACCAGCCCTCCCAGGGTGCTGGGCACAGTCTTCAGAAACCAGCCTGCCCAGCACCCCCCAAACCAGGGGCACGTCCAGGTCCCCGCCATGCCAAGTGGGGTGCTGGAAGATGCAGTTGGCGGGCTTAGCAGGACACACAGCACAGGACTTTTTCCCTCTAGACCAGTGGTTCTCAACGTTGGCTGCACATTAGAATCACCTGGGAATCTTTTTAAAATCCTGATTTCTGGGCCTCATCCTCCGGAAATTCTGTTTCTTTGTTACTAATGTTGTGGCCCCTCCCCATAACAAAGAAACAGAATTTCCGGAGGATGAGGCCTAGAAATCAGGATTTTAAAAAGATTCCCAGGTGATTCTAATGTGCAGCTAACGTTGAGAACCACTGGTCTAGACCTTTTCTTAATTGGTGCATCTTGGGACCAGCTGTGCCGATAACTCCTTGAGCACCTTCTGTGCTTTTGAGGAAGACCTTCGGGCAGCCTGGAGGTCAGTGCACATGGGCCTCAGTGCGTATCCTCACAGCAGCCCAAACCCACACCACCTGGCGGGCATGCTGGGCCAAGCCTGTTCCCTGGGTCTAAACGGCAGGTGTTTCCCAGCAATTATTGGAGGGAGTTGGGGGTGGATAGTGAGCCAGGAGCAACAGGTGGGTGACCACAGGCTCCAGAGCTCCCACCCGGGGGCCCCACTGACCTGCGGCCAGAGCCCCGGCAGACTTCAGCAAAGGCCCACAAATAGCCCTGGCCACGTGGCGTGGTTGGAGCCTATTCCGTGCACCAAAGGTTGCAGGTTCGGTCCCTGGCAGGTTCGGGAGGCAGCGGATCAGTTTCTCTCCCTCTCTCTCCAAAATCAAACATATCCTCAGGTGAGGATTTTAAGAGAGCTACAAAATAAAACTGACAGGTCACCCTCCGTTTGCACCTGGGTGTGGCTGGGAAGGGGAGACAGGCAGCCGGGGCTCAAGGGCGTCTCACAGAGGCGAGTGATTAAGCTGCTGCTGATGAGATGCTCCCTGGACTGGGACTTAGGAGGCAGGCTGGTTGGCACCCCCATCCTGCCCTCCTGGGGGAGGGGCTGAGCCTGAGCTATTGGAGGGGGTGGGCTTGGTGGGGGCAGGGCTTTGGAAGGCTTTGAAGCAGGAGGGCAGTCAGAGGTGAGAATGTGCCAACCCCCTGAGCGGGGGGGCTTTGGAGTCCACAGGCCAGCCCGCCAGCTGCAGAGGAGCCAGGGGTCCGGACAGGATGGGAGACAGGACCCAAAAGGAGGACAGTGACCAGGACAGGCCTGAATGACGGAGGCCTTGGAGCCCATCGGGCAGAGCCTGGCTCCACACCTGCCGCTCTAGGCGCTAAGACAGTGGTGAGATGGGACCATCCAGGGTTTGCGCTGTGGAGGGATGTGGTCTGACGGGTTTTAAGGAGAGTTACCCAGGGACGAGGCTACTGGGTAACTCGAGTGACCGGTGGGGGGCAGAGCTCAGGGGCAGGGAGGTGGGCTGACCTGCGAGGCAGAGCTGACAGGAGGGCAGACAGCGGGTGTGGGTGAGGGTTTGGGCCTGAACACCTGGGATGGGAGGTGGTCCCTGTAAGGGACTCGTGGTTGGGGCGGGTGGGAGCAGACAAGCGTAGGCGCAGGCTGGACATGCAGGTGGAGACTCTGAGGAGACCCCATACACAGCCCTCGAGCTCCGAGCTCCGAAAGGGGTCCTGGCTTAAGGTCGCTACGGGAGGGAGGGAGCAAGGCCCAGGGAAACGCGGCACCTGCAGAGGCGCGGAAGCTGCCAGCAAGGACGGAGGCGACCCAGAGAGCAGAGTCCTGGGGTGT